ATGTCTCTGTCAAAAACATGGGCGAGAAATGCTGAGAAGTGGAAGCAAGAGTTTCTCGTATGCCCGAAGCAGCCAGCTTTAGGAAGCTGGCTGATGATTGCCGGCAACGGCTTGGGCTGCAAGATCTGTTTTTTGGCGGAGCAGAAGACTGAGTTCGGGCGGTGCCTTCTGACGTCGCCTCGCCAGATCAGCTTGGACAGGTTCCGAAAGCACCAAGCCACAGAGGTTCACCTGCGAAGCTTGGCGCGGTTGGTGGGCTGCGAGTGCTGTACTTCGAAGCTTGATGATGTGGTGGATTCCAGGGATGCTCCTTCCTTTGCAGATTTTCAGAGAATGCTGGATATGCGACGGAGTGGAATCAGCTTGCGCAAGACAGGCTTCTGTAAGAGCTCTCAGGTCCTGCGTGACGATTGTCACGCATGCGGATGGCAAGAACAAGCGGTTCACGATGCATTTCACGGCAGTGGACCGAGACCTCGAGATCATCAAGAGCACTTTTGGGCATGCATGGCAGCAGGCAGCAGAATACAACCCTGTGGAGGGCTACGTGCGGCTTGTGGACCAGGTCTTGAAGAACTTCTGCACGCCACTGGCGTCTCCCCCCAAAGCCAAGAGAGCTCCAGAGCTGTTTGACAGGGAGTTGTACAATCTGCTGCGTGAGAAGCATTCGGCTTTCAACACGGATGCCTGCAAAGTCATCATTCTGGCAGGCCAGGAGGTCGTCAACCATTTGGGCACGAACCCGGATCCACTTTTTCCCAATGCTGTGGCCTGGATCAAAGATCACACGCATTCTGCGCGAAGGAGACTTGGCGAGGTAAATGAAGATGTGGAGTAAATAATGTTTGTTTTCAAAGTGCCATTCATGCTGATGGTTCCGCCATGAGGATCATACAGCGTGTGTGGCGAACAGACGATCGCCTGACGGAGATCATGGAGACACTGGTCACATCTGGGTCTGCTTTTTTGAAGCATCTGAACCACAGCCCGGAGTTGCAGTCGCTGTTTCAGGCGAATCTAAAGAAACAGAAGCACGTCTCCAACACAGGGACGTCTCACAGCCTCTCGTACGCAGCCCACCGCTTCGACAGTCAGGTGAAGCCTTTGGCGCATTTTCTGCTTAGTTTCGAGGCTGCGCTCGCCACGGCCATGCAAGTGCAGAGTCTGCGCGCAGGGGACGACTATGGCAAGGACGCTGCGTCGTTCTTGTCGTTTCTGGTTGGGAAGGCCGGGGCCGAAAATATTCTGCAAACTGCCCTCATGGTGGACGCAGGAGACATGGTCATGTGTTTGCTTCGATTTTTTGACAGAGCAACCTTTGATGTTGCCTTGATGGGGGAACAGCTGCACTTGTTCTGTCAAAAGTTGGATTGGGCCTTCAACAAGAAGCACATCCTGGAGTTGGAAGACTCCTTCACGGGTCATGCCCTTCGACTCCTCGCCAAGACGCACATCGTCAGGATTCCAGGCCAGAAGTGGGGGTCCGGGCCCCTGACTGTGGGCGGTCCTGGCTTCGTAGCGGCTGCTACGAGGCAGCGGTGCTTGGCCCGAATGCAGGCGTTCGTCGTTTTGGCTGTGCAGACTGTGCGAGCTGAATTCCCTTCCTTCGAGCCATTGCAGTGCTTCGGAATCTTTGCTTTGCGCGAGAGAAGCCTGGTAGGCGATGTGGCATCGAAGTTGGAGCGCGTGGCAATGTTTTGCTCTGTGGACGCGTCTGCATTGCGATCAAAGTACCAGCACTTCCTGACAAAGGCCGTGTCGTATTACCGGTCACAGGCAAGCTGCAGCAGCTTCGACGCGTGGCGACACGTCATGCTTCAGGAGGCCCGTGCAAAGGGCCGTAGCATGGAGTCCTTGGCACCGGAGTTGTTCCGGGCAGTGGCGCAGCTGGGAGCTTTCACAGGGTGCACGACGTCGTGCGTCGAAGTCACGCACAGCGTCCAAGATTGGCTTTGGCCGAAGCGACGGAACAAGCATCTCAGTCTACAGTGCGAGGTAAATGAGATTACGATCGCGACTTCACCGCCGGGACAGGCAGCTGACGCCAAAACGATCGCAGTGGCTCGTGATGTGTGGAGGACCGTCTACGGGCGGCCCCGGGCCATCCAGCGAGCAGCGCGCCAGGACAAGGGCAAAGAGAGAAGCAAAGGGAAAAGAAGCAAGACCTTGGGTGGTTTTTTCAAGCGAGCCCGTGCTGCGGTGACTCACCATGCCAGGCATCACAAGATCCGGTCTATCCAGCAAGTCGGGTACGATGCTGCGCCGGGGGCTGCTGCTGTTTGGAGCGAGAAGATGAACAATGAGCTAGACTTTCTGGCAGAGACGCTTGGGGACACAGCAGTGAGTTTGACTGTTTCGCAGGCAGAGTGAAAGCTTAGCATAAAAATGAAAAATCACGTCCACGACGTGGACGCACCCATGGTTTCATTATTATTGCAGCACCCCACCCTTGCCATCTGAGGAAACAAGAGGACGCGTTTCATGCGTGCATCCTCGGCGGCCAATTGAAGCAGCCGGACTTCACTCCAGGACAGGCAGAAGAAGCAAAGAAAAGGAAGGCCCGCGCGTTGACGCTGCAGCAAGAGCGTGCGGAGCAAGCAGAGAAGCGACGCAACACCTGCAGTTTCACTGCTGTGAGGCTCTGCGCCGGTCAAAAGTGCTACTTCCAGCCGGGCATCTCAGACAATTTGGGAAGAGAGGCCGTGAACATGAAGCGGGTACGGCTGACTCGTCGCTGGATCGAGGCAGACTGGTTTGTTCTGGAAAGAATTGGAGATATGGCCACTCAGAATCTCGCGTGGGCTGCTTGTTTGCTGGGCGGTTTTCTTGTTGATGCCACTTACATGCAAGATGCTGTGGCCGGGAATCCCAGCGGCGAACCGCGGGGTGTTTGTGTCGCTTTCAAAGCAGCACTCGGAACCAAGCGACGTGTTTGGTGCAGCGCTCGCTTCCAACAGCTGGACGTTTACCAAACAATGGCCGCGTGCGTTGGCCAAGCAGGCTCACAGTGGAAGTTCGTGGACCTGGAGGACTTCTGTCGCGAGCGTGGGAAGCGGAACGCCAGCCTCAAGGCGATTGCCTTCGTCACAGATGATGAGCAGGACTGCGTCTGGCAGACAACACGCACACACACACACAGAGACACAGACAGACACAGACAGACACAGACACGGACACAGACAGAAACACAGACACCGACAGAGACACAGACAGAGACGAAGACGGAGACGGAGACAGAGACAGAGACAGAGACACACACACACACAGACACAGATACACACACACACACTAAACCCTAAGTACTTAGAGTACTTATCAAATCGTTTACACGACAATGAAGAAGTAAGCCACGTAGGTAACCACTTAGCTACTGCATGATGAGGTGTTTTGCAGATAACGTAGCTAGCGTTAGCGATCCATAGGTACGTGGGGCAATGCGATTTGCTAATCACTTAGCTCTCTCGTGGCAGTTTGTAACTAGAGTTTAACGAAGTTTCCTAAATACTCAAGTTTGACACGTTGGAGAAGTATGTCTGCATGATCTGGAAAATTATCTGAGCGTGTGTGCTGCCCCGGAGGAAAGTTTCGTGCAAGAGCTGGGCTCCAACTGCGTTTTCACCCGGGAGACTTTTATCACGAAGCTGGCACGCATGGATGTGAAGCACACTACCTTGGGTGTTTGTGGCTTGTAGTATGATGATTGATGACGAGTACCACACACACGTGACTGATGTATGATCACACAGGGAAGGCACAAGCCACGGGCAGGGTGATTTTCAGCCTGCAAAGCAGGCCAGCCCAAAAGGGGCAGCTGGGGAGATGCGTAAGGGGGCAGCAGGCAACAGAGTGAGTTGTTGTTGGACATAGTTAATGTACTAAACCCTAAACCCTAAACCCTAAACCTTAAACCCTAAACCCTAAACCCTAAACCCCAAACCCCAAACCCCAAACCCTAAACCCTAAACCCTAAACCCTAAACCCTAAACCCAACAGGTCGGAAATCTTGGAGCCAGAGCTCTGGGACGAGGCCGGGGAACAGCGCCTTCAGGATGAGTCTTGGGACGTGGCATGACCCTGTGTAACAGTGTTGCTGGCCAGCATTGTGGTTACGAGACTCAGAGACGTCTCCGAGTTTCCTTGCGGTGGGTTTTCCAACAACACCCGAAAAAACAAGCATCAATGTGGGGGCCGAGGGCCCGGTCAAATGGTTGTTACGGGGATCAGAGACGTCTCCGAGCTCCATTGTGGGTTTGCTGGCCAGCACGGGCCGTACGAGCCAGAATCATGATTTTATGTTGACATGTTGCAGGTCAAGGCGACCAAATTGAAAGTAGTTTTCGGGAGCCGTGAGCCGTCATGGTATCCAGGCACGCCGGGCGGCAGGCGAGAGGACGGCCGGCTGCGGCTGTCAAGAAGGCCTCGACAAAGAAGGCCGTCGTGGCGAAGAAGCCAGCGGCCCGGACGAGCAAGTCTTCCTCCAGAAGTCGGCAGACCTGCGCAATTGCGAGCTTGACACGGTTGGTGTCAGACTTGGGCACGGAAGCCCGACCGGAGCTTGCGAGTTCGCTGCCGCGAGTCGCACACTCGCCGCGGACGAACATAAGCATGGGGTCTTGCTTTGCTGGCTTCGGGACCGACCATTGGATGGCCAAGACCTCGGAGTACCTGTCCGATTGGTGGCTCTCCAGCAAGTTCTGGGTGGAGAAGGAGCCGGCGGCAAGACGATTCCTGCAAGGGAACCTGGACTGTTTGAGCTTCAATGACGTCACGGCTACAGAATTCCTGAGGGATGCCCCAAGGGTAGACGTCCTGTCAGGGGGTTTCCCCTGCCAGACGTTTTCAGTGGCGGGCTTGAACCAAGCCCTCGGCGATCCTCGAGGGCTCCTGGTGGCCTACGTCATCAGCTATTGCGCGAAGAACCTCCCCAACATCATAGTGCTGGAGAATGTGAAGGGGCTTCTCACGACGCACGCGGCTGTGATGCTGGAAGTCCTGGAGTTGCTCCGGAGGATTGTTGAGCCCAGCGACGGCTCCAGAGCGTATGATACGTTCTGGAAGTTGTTGGACACCCTAGAGGTTGGTGGCCTGCCACAGCACCGTGAAAGGGTTTACATAGTGGCCGTGCGCCGGTGCGGTCGTGATCGCACGTTGCGTTGGCCTGGCAGCATCCCGCGTTGTTCCGTGGAAAGCTTGCTTGGAAGCCGGAAGAAGCTAGCCAGCTTGGCTGATTTTCCGTTGGACGATGTGACCCAGAAGACAGCGCGGAAGAACATACTCGAAGCCATGAAGAACGTGATGGTGAAGGCAGAAGCGCAGCGCCGGCCACCGATCAGCTACACGCCCATTGTTGATGTTGCTGGCACATCCCTCAACATGCACTTCGACCACTGCCCGACCATCACAAGAAGCAGAGGGAACAAACTGGCCTTCTGGTCCTTGAGCCACGGTCGGCAACTGTCGGCTGCGGAGCTCCTGCGCTTCCAGGGGCTACCGTCTTCAGGGCTGAACTGGTGCATTTCCGACAACCAAATGGGAGCGCTGTGTGGCAATGCGTTCACTGGTACAGTTTACGCGCGAGTGCTTGCAGCAGCTTTGCAAAGTTTCTACGGTTATTCTTGAGCCCCGCACAGCGTGGCGCGGTGTAGGAGAGCAGGAGCTGGGCGTTGCAAGGCTCGACCTCGGAGCAGCAGCAGAATTCAATCCGAAACCCCAATGTTTTAAGTTGGAACCCCATCATATTTCTTTCGATATCAGAAACGGTCGAGCCACGGAACAGCTTCTGCAACTAATTAGATTTTACGCCTTGGGAGTGCAACCGGTACAAGAAGCACGCTTTGTATGCAAGCGTTTGACGAACAAAAGTTGGTGAAACCGATGCCGTGTCAGTATGCGCTGCATGTTCTCTCTACAGAGCAGTGCATCACTCACAGTCCGTCCAAGCAGCTGCCGCATGTTGCTGCTGCTGCTGCAGGTGAATTCACGTGGAACGCTCTCCACGACCAGGCCACTTGTCGTGACACAGTTGAGTGCTGCGCCGTTTGTGTCACAAATTGCCAGGGCCAGGAATCGCATTGACCCATGCCATTTGCAGCGCGTGGTTGTTGTGCATTGCCGTTCCTGCCTGGAAGGCGGAGAGCCGTCCATAGCCGGCCCAAACGCCATCATCTCGGATTCTGGCATACTGTTTTCCAACTTCGCGATCAATTCCGGCAGCCTTCATGTCGTTTATACTTCTGTGCCGAGCGCTGTGGCTCCGAACTTTCTCCTTCTTGATCGTAGCATTGGTGATGTTCTTGCGCAATTTGGCAATCTGCTTGGCCACGGAGTCCTCCGTGCGTATCGTGTGGGCACGAATGTCAAACAAATAAGACCAGGACATTGCATGGTAAACGCTTACACAGGGTCTTGTTGGAGCCGGGGCACGTTTATTATGTGTTTAGCTAGGTACAGTGCTAAAGAACATCCGAAGAGGAGCTCTCTTTGAAAGTCCCTGAGTCCTTGGTTCTCCTCTTCAATTTGGAGTCTTTACGGGTCGCAGGAAAAAGATACCCCTGCGCTGGCCATGTCCAGGTCTCCTCCACTGGAACAATGCCGCGATTTCCTTGCTTCTTCATGCGAGACACTCGGAGGCCGCCGTTGCGCCACCAGTCGTTGAACAACGTCACTGCGCGGGAGGGCATTACCTTCTCCGTTTCCTCTTGACCCTTGAGGGGTGGGACGACAACCACGTTGCGGTACCAATCAAAGCTCTCCGCTGTCAACATGAGGGTCTCGGTAATGCGGAGGCAGCAGGCGTGAGAGATGATAGTTGTGGCGTAGAGCCACATAGGTCCATGGTCTTTGATGATTCCCAACCATTCCTGCCAGCTGTCACCTAGAAGCGGGTCTGCTTTGCCTTTGCGCTTCACTGTTTGCTTTCCGACCAGGCGGCGCGGAATCTCGCGGGCCGGCCGACGAGGCATGGCTACCGTTGCTGTTGCTGTGGGGGACTAAGCCTAAGCAGTGCGATCATCAGCCAGGACCAGCGTGCTGCGGTTTGAGCAAGCAGTGGTTATGATTATATCCGAAAGCACGGAGCAAGCTGCCCAATTGAAAGCAAGTGCACTCACGCCATGACCAAGCGTAAGTCGCGGGCGGAGCCAGCCTCGCCGAACAGCGCGCCCAAAGCCAAAGCGAAGGGCAGACCTAAGTCTGAGGCCAAGGCTAAGGCTAAGGCTGCAGCCCTGCCCGTGGACGCGGCAGAGCCTGCTGCGGGTGACGGTGAAATGCCACCTCTGCCCATGGAGATCGATCACCGAGTCCCTCCGTCCCCTGCCTTGGAGCTCTTCCTGGAGAGTAAAGCCGTCGTCCTTGGCCACCCGCTTTTCCAGGACCTGCCAGGACGCAACCCAAGCTTCGTGAGCATGGAGCCGTACAAGCGCGAGTCATGGCAAGCCATGACCGAGAATGGAGGCGACAGCTTAGAGGACGGGCATTGGTAACTACATCAAGCTGGGTAGCTGCGGAAGACTTGAAGTAAGACAGTAGCTGAATGCAAGAGGAGCGTTTAAAGAATAAGAGACCTTCATGGAGGCCGGTGACAGCTTAGACTGGGCATTGGAAACTACATGAAGTTGGGTAGGTGCGGAAGATTTCAATAGACAGTACCTGACCTCAAGAGTAGTGTTTTGAAGAATAATAGAGAATGTCTGAGTGCAGCGTCTGCCAATGTAGCTAAGAGTAGAAAAGAACCGGTAGGAAGCAGAGTACTTCAAGCTGTAGCAGCCTTAGAAGAAAACGTTGTGGACGCAACGAGACCCTCTGGTAACATCACAATTTGAGCATCGCAATGATTTTCCAGGCTGGCTACAACTTGTTCTGGCTGGACTTCGTGCAGTCGCCGATCAAGGTTTCCGTAGCCCTACACAAGTTGGAGGATGTCGTGAAGCACTTCTTCCAGGCCCCTGAGAGGAAGCTCCCGTATCAGATCAAGAGTTGCATCTCGTCGGGGAACTTTCCGGATGACATGAAAGGCCACGTGGAGGCACGGCGTTTGTAAAATGTTTGATATGATTTGGAAGCTGTGACTACAGATACGGACAGAGTGTAACAACAATGAGACAGGCGCTCAGCCCGCTTGAGTTCGCATGGGCTCCGGTGGTGGCAGCCGCCAGAGACATCAAGGCGAGCCTAGGGGAAGAGGACTTGCAGAAATGGCGGGATCTCTTCTTGTGCGCATCCATGGAAGTGAAGTACGTCGACAGCATGGAGAAGCGGTTGTGGGCCTCGCACCAATGCCGCGAGGACATGATGGAGATCGGTGAGACGGCCAAATTGAGCACAATCGAAAAGATATTGGCCATCATGGAGACGAAGGCCATGTTGGAGAAGCTGCATGGCGGCAAGACGATGGGTGCTGAAGCGCTGGAGACCGCGTGGAGGGACAACGTCAAGGTCTCTGAGAGCGGCCGCAACAAGGAGGAAGCCATCAAGGTTGGCCTCATCGACGCGGCGGTGACCGTGTACAACCGGCTTCTGACAGAGAACGACATGGAGCGGTTTTTGAGGCAGACGGAGGCCTGGAAGAATGGCCCGGTGTTTGACAGCATCTACCAGCTGGAGGCTCCCCTTCTTTATAGATAGGCGGTGGACAAGATACATGAAGGAGTCGGTGAAGGGGAAGTTTTAACTAACACGACTTGGTGAGTTCTGAGTAATGAAGTAAGTGTTTTGCGGAGTGGCTAGCAACGAGTTTCCGCTAATCAGTTAGCTAAGCTCTCAGCGAACTGGCAAAGTACGTAGCGAAGCAGCGAGGAAATCGGTGTTAACCGCATAGCTACAGACGTAGCTAGCTGATTAGGTCTAGCTAAAACGTGAATTAGCGAATCAAATTAGCTCCACGGGCCAAGCACCTAGCTAAGCACTGAGCTATCTTTTCGCAGTCAGTAATTACCAGAATACATGTACATTTTCTGGATACAGGAAAAAATATGTGTATCATATAATGGTTGTAAAGCCTGCTTATATTTGCGGTATCCTGTTGTGCCTGTTGTCTTCTTTCAAAACGTGGACAGTTCCGAGTTGCATTGTTCGGGAAAGTTACTCTGCGCGCGTGGCAGGCCATCGTGAAGAGGGCATCCTCGAAAGACATGATCCACTGGACCGTCATGCTGATTGCGGACATGGTCCAGTACGGCGGGACCATTCCGCGCGAGCTGAGCGTCCGGAAACTTTCAGGAAAGGGTCAGCCCGGCGGCAGGGGCATCGTTGACTTGTGCATGTGCAAGAAGGAGATCGCGTGGTGCATGATCAAGAAGGCAAATTTCCGGCTTTTAAAAATTATTGATTCACGGTGAGTCTACGTTGTTGCTCGTCCTATGCTGCATTGCAGGCACGTGACTTGAAGGTCAGCGAGGTGGCCGTGAAGCGCATGGACGCGTGGGAGAAAAGCCCCGAGGAGTACAGGAAAGCAATGTTCAAGGGCAGCGCGTCCTGGGTGGGGACTTTGCCTGACTCGGCGCAGAAAGGCGTCAAACTCTTTGAGGAGCGGAAATAAATGTAACGGCACCGCCATTACACAAACCCCTGTAAGCCTGACTGTGAGTGAGACCTGTCCAGGAGCTCGTCTTCGACAACAAGTACGACGAAGTGATCAAGCAGGCCAAGAATGGCGGGCACAGCATGGAGGAGGCCCTCACTCGCTCCCCCGTGAAGGAGAAGATGGATGAGTTCGTTGCCGCGCTGGAGGCGGAGGGCGATGGCCGGCCAGCGCCAGACATGGAGAAGAAGGGCATCGACGTGGAGGACATTGACTTGAGTGACGAGGAGGATGGCGGGATGATGCTTCCTGGTATCTCGGCAAAGAAGATGGACGACAAGGAAGGCGTGCTGGCTCAGTGGGTCACCTATGCAAAGAACTTGGTGGACAGGTATGTGAATTTGCACGGTGACCCTGGCAGCGTCTCCGGGGTCGCTCAGCTGCTGCGGGCGGACCCGCTTTCCCAGAAGGTCACTGGGAAGCAGGAGTACGTGCTTGTCCTGTACGATGTCACGAGAGCTGGAGAAGCATCGTCCAGGCCGCACTTGAGACCGCCGCCCTTAAGGGATGAGCACTTGAAAAGATGCATCAAGGGAGCCTTGGAGGGGCTCCAGCCGGCGCAGAACGTTTTGCCACAGATCCCGGAGAAGGCCGCCTTCTTTTTCATCGACAGGAACCTGGGCAGTGCAGGCAATGCCTCGAAGGCCTTTGTGGACGACGGCGGCAAGGTGATTCCGAAGGTCAAGACGCAGTTGTACGTGTTGACAACGGAGCAGTCCGAGCGACAGGTGAAAGCCCGGGTCAAGGGCATTGCTACGTTGTCCACCATGCTGAGTATGAACGTCTTCAGCCAGAAGACGCTCGAGGTCGTGGCGAAAGATCACCTGCACGTGCCGGGAAGCACGGCGTCTGATTGCCTCGGCCCCTTCGAGAGGACGCCGCCAGAAAGCCTCTGGAAGGTGAAGCACGCCAGCAAGTCGGACCTCCTGGGCAAGGCGCTGATCGCCGTGGGGGGAACTGTGGATGGCGACCCGGGGCCGGAAGTGGATCCCGGGCCGAAGCCCTCCAGCATGGTTCCCTTTTGCTGGCATGGGCTCCCGACAGAATTCTACGAAGAGTTGCATCACTCTTTCTCGGGGGCTGGTTGGGTGGACCTCACCGCTTCGGACCCGGTGCTGCCCATGACAGCCATCCGTTTGCGGAAGAGTTACTTCGGGCTATGCCACACACCAGAACACAAGGAGTTGCTGGAAAAGCAGTTGGCCAACCAGGTGTTCCGGGCAATGCAGCACCCCAGCGACCCCCTCTTCGAGCAGGGCCTCAGAGATGCACTTCCGGAGTCCATGCGGATCAGTGCAGCGCCGAAAGCCAAGGCCAAAGCAAACACAAATGCGAAGGACAAGAAGGAGCAGGACGCCGAGGCGAAAGAGAACCAGAAGGACAAGGAGAAGGACAACGAGAAGGGAAAGGATGCCAACAACAAGCCGAAGGATAACAAGAAGGAGGCATCCAGTGAGCAGAAGCAGAATTTGTTGGACAAGCTCCGCAGCTTGGATTCTTCCACGCCAGCCTAGTCAGCGGGTCCAGAGGACCTGCCTCGCTTGGATGGTCAGTTTTGTTGCTGAGGCCAGCCAACGCCGCAACCCCCCGCTCCCCGTTCAAGTATGACAGAAGAGAATAAATATAGAGAAGTTAGAAGGGGAAGCCCATTTAGAAAAGTCTTTTGGGTAGCGATTCCAACCGTTGACGCGGCTGGGCATGCGCCGCCACATCGTCTCAAACCCGCGCGTCTCGCAGAGCAGTTTCGCGTGTGTGTGTGTGTGTGTGTGTGTGTTTCCCGCGAGAGCAAGGAAAGAGGTTCCGAAAATGTGGGGTGCAGTCCGCGGGTGCTGCCATGGCAGAAGCAAAGCAAAGAGTCACGATTTATTGTTGTTTGCGTCGTGTCACGTGTCTTACCTGTCGGTGGCAGGGCAGCCTACGGCGCCAATTCACCGGTATGGCCAGGCAGTCGGGAGGGCTCTAATGGGAAGGCGCTTACTGGGGGGAAGGCGGCCTCCCCGGGGGTTACGCGGCTTCAGGGGTCTTTGGCGGCCTCCCCTTCAAACCCACACGTGACACCCCCAAGCCCTTACTTGGGCCAACTTTCCGGAACTGTTTGTGTTTGTTTACTTATATATATGTGTGTGTGTGTGTGTGTCTGTCTGTCTGTCTGTCTGTCTGTCTGTCTGTCTGTCTGTCTGTCTGTCTGTCTGTCTGTCTGTCTGTCTGTCTGTCTGTCTGTGTCTGTCTGTGTCTGTCTGTCTGTCTGTGTCTGTCTGTGTCTGTCTGTGTGTGTCTGTCTGTGTGTGTGTCTGTCTGTGTGTGTGTGTGTGTCTGTGTCTGTGTCTGTGTCTGTGTCTGTGTCTGTGTCTGTGTCTGTGTCTGTGTCTGTGTCTGTGTCTGTGTCTGTGTCTGTGTCTGTGTCTGTGTCTGTGTCTGTGTCTGTGTCTGTGTCTGTGTCTGTGCGTGTGCGTTTTTGTGTGTGTGTGTGTGTGTGCGCGTGTGTGTGTGTGTCTGTCTCTGTGTGTGTGTGTGTGGCTGTGTGTCTGTGTGTGTGTGTGTTTGCATGTCTGCAGGGGGATTGTGGGTTTGTACGTTGCCTCGCGGCTTGCCAGTTTCCTCCGTGAAACTTTTGGGTCGAGCTACGTAGCAGCTAGAAGTCGCTGCACATGCCCCGGCCTGAGGCACCCGCCTGCAGTTGTATGCTTGTGACCTGCGAGGTTTCACGTTGCAGTCTGCGCCCGCAATCAACTTAATCATTACTTTAAGCTTCCGTTCCGTTCGCCATGGCAGAGACGGACATGGGCACAGGCCAGGCCTTTACGCCCAAAAAGAAGAGATGTCGGCCCGTGGATGAAGCCAGCACTGAGTCCTGGCATCCACCGACAACTGTCAGGAATCAGCTGTGGCTCTCACCACCCAGCTCAGGCTGGGACCTTGACGAGAGTCAAGATGCTCAAGTGCTTTGTCCTGTTCAGCCACCACGACAAAAGATTGCCGACGACATGCCCAAGAAGGATGCGACAAAGCAGGAAGGGCAAAACAACGTGCAGGGGAAGACCAAGGCCACGGATGGCAACATCTCCCAACCTCCACCGAAGCTACGCCGCTCGCTGTGTTTCACGGAGGACATGTTACCGTGAGCAGCAACAAGGGTTTGCTCACTTTTGGGGTCCGGCGGCGATCACATTTCCGCAAGATCGTCCATGAGATTAAGGGGAAAAATGCGTGATCAGTTCTAGTGATCTACACACATGAAATTGCAAGTCGCATTGGTTCCCCCAGTGGCTGATTTAATGTAGTGACCCATTTTGGACGAAGCTTTCAATCGGTGAACCCTGAACCGTATCCTAAAGCGATCCATTCAACAAAAATGAGCTCATGGCCAGGTCCTGGGCCCTAGTGGATGTGATGAGCCTGAGGCACGCAGAGGTCAATGGCATAGGTTTCAGGGTTTCGGGGTTGGAACTTATCCCACCAACCAGTTTAAGCGCCTAGGGCTTAAATTGACAAGCTTACTCCCCACTCAGGCCCTCTGGCTTAAGTCAGGTGAGGTAAGCGTGAAATAAGAAGGGCTAATAAGGGTCCAATAAAGGAAAGAAGAGCCTAACAAAGAGGACGTAAGCGTGAAAGAACGTGAGTAGGACTGCAATAGAGGTGAAATAGTGCGTACACATGATGACTGTACTGTGTGTACCGACAGGCCGTCGCATCGAGGAAACGAACGTGTTTTGCACACGACGAGGCTCGGGCCCTTCCTATTGCATGTGCCTTTTACTCAGCCGGACGCATGATGGCTGCATTGCCTTGTTGGTGGTGCATGATTCTGATGATGGCTGCTGCATTGTGGTTCAATCTTTTTTGTGCCCCCAGCTCGATCATTTTGATCGCTTTGCGTTCCGCCTGTTCCTGAGACACCTGACTACCTGACGTTGCCATGGCCTGCGGTGGTCGTGGCGCAGCAAGGATCGTGGACGAGAAGCTGGGTTCACTCATGGAGACGCTGCAGGAAGCAGTGGTGGAGGCACAGCAGACCCCCGGACTTCTGCAGGAGCTGCGGGCCTTCAAGGATGGGCCCTTCCGCACCACGATGCACAACGCCTTCCACAATATGGCGTTGGCCCAGGAAGACGCAAGAGTCACGGCCTGCTCTCAGAAGGGTAACTGGCTCTTAACGCTGGCTTTGACGCTGGTGGACGACACCTTCGTCCGCGACTACGGCTACGCGACTTCTGAAAAGAAGTCGGCATCGTCAGGGAGGTTTCTGGAATGCTACTTGTGCTGGCTGGCGGAAAGCCGGCGATGGGACTCACTCGAGAAGATGGCAAGCGTCGTCGAAGGCGCGGACGCAGTCGTCCGGCACGTCGAGCTCAAGCACCCGTGCGAGAGTGAGAGCATCTCTAAGATGATGAACTTCGTCAAGTTGCTCGACCTCCTCGAGCACCTTTTGTAGCAGGCTTGCAGCGTGTGACACCGACAGCTGAGGATGTAGTTAGTTAGCCTGTACCTAGAGCTACCTACAGATTAGCACGTAAAAGGATCGGTCCCCCAAAAAAACTTCCGTGTTAATGTGGTGTTTCAGCTGGTCGGTGTCAGGCTGCCCGGAATGCAAAGACTGCACAGGCAAACGCCTCGTGCTGGAATAGAAAGGGACGCACGGCTCCTGCAGTTCGGTCGCTGAGAGGCTTGTGTCTGGCCAAAGGCCGGCAGCCCGATGCTTTTACCAAGCTGCACACGTGTGTCCGTCCTAGCGGATGATGGCAACCGCCGGCCCCGGCGCGACAAAAACAAGCACCGTCCAAGGCGCCGATTTGCAATTGTTTGTTGCTTGCACTTGATTTTCGGCGTGATAGTAGCATGAGTACCATGTAGTAGGAGAATGACAATGATTCCTGTGGGAGATAATAATAAGGATGAAATAAGGATGAAACACGGGTGACATACGGTGCAATCAAATAAGGGTCGCGTGAGGGAAAGAAGGGCGACGTAAGGGTCGTAAGGCTCCATCAACACCACGCCGAAGCAACCCGACACACTGAACTTGCACATGGGTTTCGGGTTTCGGCCTTGGAGAGCTGGCTGCCAGGTGAATCGGTTCCCCAGCTCAGAAGCAGATGCTCCTTGTTGTCAGATCCGTCGTGGCCTCGGTATTGGTGATTCAGCCACTGCATTGCCACAACCGTGTTCTCTGAACGATTGCAGCAGACTTGGGGACCCTGCCCGCAGCATTTCACGGCCAAGCTGTTGAGCCTGGGGTTGTGCTCAGTTCTAATTATTACGTGTGGCACATCATTGGCAGAAACACATTAGAAGTAGTTCTCACAAATGCCATGGGCCTGCGTGAGATGCGGGGAGGGCACCTATCGCCGGGACAAGCTGTGTCAAGCATGCAGAGGCACGCGCAGAGGATTCAACAACAAAAAAATCCCTGCGACCAGAGTGAAGACAAAGAGGCGACTGGAGCCGAAAGAAACGATTTGGGGTCATGAGCAGCCCAACTCCAAGGATGACAAGGCGAAGACGAAGAAAACGGAACCGACGAATGTGAACCAGGACGAGGCCGCCGAGACTGAGAAGGACCCAGCCGAGCAGGACCATGCCCAGAACGAGGGGGCAAATGTGAGCCACGTTCTTAGCAACTTCAACTCGGTTCTTGCATTCGCATTCTTTAGCTTGCGGACCTCCATTGTTGTGTTTTCCTCAGGGCCCAGCGAAGTTTGCTACGTGGATGTCGAAGAGCATCCATGGGTGCAGGAGGTGCTACGGACGTCACTCGGTACTGGTATGAAATAAAAGAGTAGAAGTACGGTCGCGTTGGAATGTCATTCACCCACCCAAGGTTCCGACAGCTTCGCCAAGAGTACCAGGGCAATCTTGTGCAGATGCAAGAGCAAGAGGACACCATTCAGGCCCTGGAACGAGACTCGCTTGCAGGAATGTTCGTTTCTTGACACTAAACAGTGGGTCTGTGCGCGGACTAGAACTTGCTCTGTGCCCACGTGTCCAGGAATCGTGGCCCGAGCACGACGGCAGGGCTTTGTCTTGTGAAGCACGACGAAAAATTCAGGAGACGTTGCTTGGTCGTGTCTTCTTGGGGTATATGCTGCAGATGTCTTAGGCCGCACTGCGAAATGAAAAAAGGCGCGAAACGCCCAGCACATCAGCATGACCACGACAATGCATTGTCTTTCCCCTTTGCTGATGCTAAGGTCCTGACTCGAACCAGAAGATGAACACCGCCAGCATTGCAGCCATGAGCTCCTCGACCTCTTCTTACATCTCAGACCCTCAACGTGTTAAAAGTTGCGACCTGAATTTCGGTTAATATTCGAAGAGTGATTTAGGGTTTAGGGTATATTTTAAGGGTTTAGGGTTTCGGGTTTCGGATTTAGGGTTTGGGGTTTAGGGTTTAGGGTGTAGATTCTCACAGATTTAATTGAAAAAAACACAGAATGCAGCAGGTTGCGACCTCTGCCGTCAAATTCCGATGACTCACGCATTATAGTATATATATATATATGCAGAAACATAGATC